AGTGAAGGTTAAGAGTATCTGCGGCTCCAGTTTGGCAGTAGGGTCCTGCCAGGCCCTAAGCCAGAGGAAGGTGGAAAGTGGGGCGGTGAGCAGCGGGCTGAGGGTGGCTGCCACCTCTCCCAGTGTTTCCAGAGCTCTGAGTGCGCCACTGCCTTCCTCTTCTGGTCCCTGCCCCACCTGGCTCTTGCCTTTTGAATGAACAAAGTGATTTAAAACAGGTAAGATTTATTGATTTATGGATATTTACTTTTTATATTTTGACATGTGTGCAACCCTGAAAATTTATATCCATTAAAGTCAAAATAAATGCTTAAAAGATAAACATCAACTTTAGCCATTGAAATTACAAAAAAATTAAAAAATAAAGTGGAATTCTGCCAAGCCTACTGATAAGAATAGCTTTAATCTGAAAAATGAGGAGAATGAGTCTCTCCTTGACCCTTTCTCCAAACAGGGAAGAGGAAAAGTAAGTAAATAAGGATGCAGCAATGATGAAGGAATGTCATTGGGAAGAAGGATGAACAGCAGAGAGAAAGAAAGCGCTTGCATTGATGAGACTAGCGGTCAGTAGCTGCAAGCAATACTCATGGTGGCAGGACTGTGCCTAACCCAGCTGTGATCAGTTAAAAACAACTGCAACATTTGATGAAACAAATACCAGGAGCCTGGGCAACAAAATGGAGGAACTAGACCTATCGGGGCAGGATATGAAACTGGGCCTTGTAGGGCAAGCAGAAACTTGGTGGCATAGCAAATATGACTGGAACACAGGTATAGAAGGGTGTGTGCTGCTCTGGAAAGATAAAAATAAAACTAGAAGGGGTGGCTAATGTAATAGGCTATTGGGGAAATGGAAAGAAGAATCTGTTTGGGTCAAAATCCCTTTGAGGCAGCATGGTGAAAGAGGTTCTGCTGGGATAGATTTGGGAGTCTGCTCTAGGCCCTCCAAGGTTTGATTTGAATAGGGATAGAGAAATCTATCATGTTATTAGTGAAGTCAAGTGGAGTGAGGAGCTCATTTGAATGTGGAGGAGGCCAAGTACTCCTATAAGTTCATGGTTCTCAACCTTGTTAGACTCGGGACCTCTTTGAAAATGCCAGATCTTAGTTTTCACTCTACAGAAAAAAATAACTGAGTCAGATTCTTCTGTTGCTAAGAACTCGGAAAGCCCACAACAGGTCAGAAGGTTCCTAACACTATGGATGTCTATTTGAAATCTCTGGGTTTCTTTTGTGAATCGTGTTGTAGGTGTTTGTATACCTAACAGTGCTAATAGTGTGTGGATCTCACAGCACCCCAATGTACTGGGGCACCCTGGTTTAAAATCACTACTATAAGTCAAAAGTGCAAAACCTGTCTGAAATGGATATCTTAACAAAGATACTGGAGCAAGGAGGAGGAAATTGTGGTGAAGGGCTCTGGACCTGACTAGATGAATAACCAAAAAAGGTACTGGGAATGAACAGAGAACCTACAAGGAATAGAAGAAAGGACTGATCAGCAAAGAAAACTCTTAAGAGTCAAGAAATGTAGG